ACAACCACAAGATCAAGAGTTGTGTGCTCCACTGAATGAGCCAGCCAGCTGCCCTGACAGTCACGGTTTTGGTAAAATTTCCTTTAATATTACTACAGCTACTTCAGCTTTCTTTTGTTAGTGTTTGCATAGTAAACATTTTTCCCCACTATTTTACATTTAACCTATTTCTGTCTTTGAATATAAGATGTGTCTTTTGAAGATAGCATAGAGTTGTATCATTTTATGTTTGTTCGTTTGATCTATTCTCCCAATCTCTGGAGTGTTTTATTCATTTACATTTAGTTACTGAATTTAATTATTTAATTACTAATTTAATTATTGAAAAGGAATAATTTACATCTGTCATTTTGCTTTGTTTGTATATATATATATATATATATATTGTCTATTTTGTTCCTCTTTTCCTCCATTGCTACTTTATTTTGTGTTAAATAAGTATTTTCTAGGATACCATTTTAATGCTCTTTTTTTTTTCCTTTCACTATAGTTTTCTGAGTTATTTTCTTGGTGGTTGCCCTGAGAATTACAATCAACAACCCAAGTAATATTTGGATTAATGGTAATTTAATTTTAATAGTGTATAAAGGTTTTGCTCCAAACTAGCTTCATTCCTGTCTCCTTTCTTTGTATTACATCTTTACATTACAAGCTGAATCTTTACAGTTTTATAATTATTGCTTTATGCTGTTATCTCTTAAGTAGGAGAAAAAAAGTATTACAAAGAAAAATACATTTATACTCTCTTTCATGTTTACCTATGTAGTTACTTTCACTAGTGCTTTTTATTTCTCTGTGTGAACTTGATTTATCACCTTTTGCTTCTGCCTCTGCAATTACAGTTTACTGACTATTCCCTCACACTAGACTGACTAATATTAATTAAGTTTTCTTGGAAAAATGTTGAAGAATATAGAATAGTAGAAAAGACTGTGAGAAAAATTGGGACAGGAAAAGTTTTTCAAAGTTATACTCCCTGGTAAGTTGAAATTTAGTTCAGACTCAAATATCAATTATGGTTCATCCCCAGTTCCTCCAACAATATAAGACAATAGTGGGTGCTTACCAAATATTTTGGAATATTCTGGAATGAGTTAACATGAGTTCACATGATGATTAAAATTTAAATGTTGAACTATCTGAGGTCTAGAGCTGGAAAGAACGTTGACAGAGTCACATAAACCAAGATTAAGTGGGTCTTAAAAAGAGGACTTTTAGAGAAGAGTCTGTAGAATTTCCAGATTGACTGAATTCCCTGAGTCACATTGTCAAAAAGAATTTAAGTCATTGATTATAACAAAGCACTGGTTAATTCTTGTAACAAAGCTGAAAGTTCTTGAGAAAGTCAGACAAGGTCACACACTTTGCTCACTAATAATCTTACACTGACAAATTCCAAAGTATGTAACAGATTCCCTGCATCTGTAATTTTAAGCAAATAGGATAGGCCCTCTATTTGATGGCTCACTGGATGTAGCCTATGGCATACATAAGGCTTTGGAACTCTGTTTATAGACATTAACAGTTGGAAATTGAGAGTTGCTCAAGCAGAATTCTACATAATCACCCATTTGGGGTTAATTTACTTTATTGCGGCTGCTAAAGTGAGCTCAGCTGAACTTGTCATTTTCCATTCCAATCTGTTTTGTAAATGTTTTTAGTTTCACAGCCCAAGCATTTTATTGCAAATCTTTCAGATCATATGGTTTGTTCTAACCAGAACAATTCATCAAATGAATGTGGGTTATTTCTAAACCTGCAATACAATTTTGAACTTACTTTAGAGTTTGAGACATGAAGAACTGTAAGCTTAAATAATGGAGAAATAAACTGGCTGGAGTTTAGTAGTTACCTGTTCAACATTTTTTGGAATACTATCAGTGCAAGATACCATGTTAAGTGTTGGGGATTCAATGATGAACAAGACAGATTTAGGTACCCCCAAAGAGTTTTAAAGTTATGTCAATCTGTACATAAATGAATAAACAAATAAAAACATCTATTATATGTAGTACACACTTACTAGTAAAAAATATGGAAAGTAAGGGAATGCTCTTAACACTGAACATTCCTGGTCAAAATCTCAATCTCAATCTAAAATATCTTCAATCATGAGCATATGCTCATTAAATGCTTTTTCTCTTTTAAGAAATTTTTCAAATTCCAATTTTTCTATGAATAGTTCTTTGAGTAATGAGAAATGGATTCCTCAATGTTCTCTTCTATTGAAATGTTCCCAGAACTTTCTCTTATTCTTCTACTCATTCTTTTCTTAGAAAGTATTTATTGAGCAACTGATATGTTCTAAGCGTATACAAATTGGAGGGATACAAGATAAAGGCTAGAGTGTACTGTCTTTAGCTTTAGAGTAGAGCAGATAAACAAATACAGAAGGTCATTATAATGTTATTGAAAAGTACTATGAAAATGGGGCACCTGAGTGGCTCAGTCAGTTAAGTGTCCAACTCTTGATTTCAGCTCAGATCATGATCTCAGGGTTATGAGACTGAGCCCCATGTCAGGCTCCACGCTTGGCACGGAGTCTGCTTGAGATTCTCTCTCTCCCTTTCCTTCTGCTCCTTCCCCCTTTTGCACTCTCTCTCTCTTTCAAAAAATAAATAAAATTTTTTTTAAAAGTACTATGAAAGGTATCTCTTTAAGAAAGCAGTCACATACATGGATTCAACACATACTTGTTATTTTAGATCTATAAGCAGAATTAGTTGAAATGACAAATAATAGCATATATTATTAAGGCATTTTAATCAGTGAGTACTTTCTCTGCTCTAGGCACTTCAATTAATTCATCAAATAAGTGTAATAATTCTGTGAGGTAGATGCTACACAACCCCACTTGAAAATAACAAAAGAGAGGCAGAGAAATTTAAGAAATTGATAAAATTCATGCATCTATTAAGTTGCAGAGTAAGGATTTAAACTCATGTAATCTGGACCTTAAGTCTGTGTTTTTGACTTCTCTGTACTATATCATTTCTGATTATTCACTCCTCAGCTTGTAAGAAGATTCCTATCGCCTTATGGTTTGCAGTGTCTTTCTGTGAGAGAAGGATTCTTTCCTTCTCCGTGGTGAAGCTTAACCACACAACTTGTTTTGGCCAAAGAAGTATGAAGAGACTTAACATATGCCAGTTCAAAGCAAAGATCAAAGAGACATTACATATTTCTCTCCACTTCCTTGCCCTTTCCCTCAGTCACAGAATGGCATGTCCCAGGAAGTGCTGTTCCTTTAGCCTGAGTTCTGAAATGAGACGGTAAGTAAAGCAGAGCCACAGTCCATCCTCACTACTGACATGGAACATGAGTGAGACACACTGTTGTTGCAAGCCACATACGTTTTTTTTTTTTTTAATAGCAGAATAACCTAGCAAAAACGGACTAGTATAAAAATACTTACAAGAAGTAGGTGTGATAGTAACAAACACCCTAAAATATATAATATCATGGCGAGGGGGACAGTGTTGAGGAAACTATCACTGGGATTGGGAAAACACAACTCATGTTCTACAGTGGCACACATTTGTTAACTTAGTTGAAAAGACTGGGGCTTAGAATGCTAATAAGTATTGGTACTAACTGCATTTTTAAGGGTATAAAAGTAATTGTTTCTTTGCAAAAATAGAGGAATTGAAACAATTTAGAATTATAAGATATACAAGGTTGAAAAGTGCAACTACTGCCCATATTCAACCAGTAAAAGATATCCTGAAAGTTGCTTTGACTAACAAAGGTTGAAGGAGACCCAAATTAAGACTCTTCCTCAAAGACCAGATAAAAGGTTTGTGAAGTCTTTTTAATGAATTAAGGTATCCCAGTAAATTCCTTTAGTTGGATAAAATATATCAGAGCAAACAGACTAAGGGCATGGCTTTCCATGAGCCTGATAAGGTCTAAGTACTGGCAATAACTTTAGAGAAAGAAAGAGATATATTTCCAAGAAACATGGCATTTTAAGATAAAATTTATAAGTACAAGAGGATGAGCTATATTCTTTGTCTAAACTTTTATAAACCATTACACATGTTCGTTGGTGATTTACTTGGAATCATCAATGTTCAGCTTAAGTGTTTTCTGCTCTGAATTAGATACTCCTCTACCACACCTTCTGATCCTCTGGCTTATATTTATTAAGATGATTTTCACTCTGCATCTGACTCTTTCCCTCCTCTAGTCTATGAATTCATCAGTGAATTTGACAGAAGCTTTTAGCTTTTTATTAGATACACATGCAAAAGAAATATGGTAAGTATTTGATGAATGAATAACAGAGAATGAATATACTCGTCGAAGTAGCAAAATTATCTAACAAACTACAATACCCCCAAATCAGCATGATATACCATTTCCAAAAGTCTAAAATCTGCCTGATTCTCCACTGTGCTAAAAAAAAAAAATAAGATCTTTGAAGTTGGAGGCTTAACACATATAATAAAAATGTACTACATAAATCTCATATAAAAGACAACATTCTTTACATACAGTCTCAGGAAACGGTAAAGAAATTTTTGTTATTTCTCATACAAAATTTATAATATTAGTCCTAGACAAAAATCAAGTCAATTAATCACAGAGCTTTACAATTTAAAGTCATTAAGGCAGTTCGTAAAATACATTCCCTAAATATCACCCTAAAAAAATGCCCAGACATATTTCTATGGCTAGGGTCTCATTATTTCAGAAAATACACAATCCTTTGGTAAGCATATTATGTTGGTTCAGTCTGCTCTTAAATTTTATTTTTTTTTAGAGATTTATTTGTTTGTTTGAGAGAGAGAGAGCGTGTTGGAGGAGCAGAGAGAAAGAATCTTCAAGCAGACTCCCCATTGAGCACGGAGAGGTGACATCCAGGACCCTGAGATCATGACCTGAGCCAAATCAAGAGCCAGCTACCCAACCAACTGAGCCACCCAGGCACCCCTCTTAAGTTTTATTTTTAAGTGCATTCTATAGAAAACACAAGGAAATTATTTGAAATTACATACCTGGCGACACCAGAGTTTACGAAATATTTGCAGATAGGCCAACACCATAAGACAGAGTGGTGCCATGTATGTCACCAGAAAGAAACAAATGTGATACATCTTGGGGTAAATTTCACCTGGAATGAAACCCAAAATAATAAAATCTTGTTTTATAATTCACCAATTTTTTTAAAGGTCTGTCAATGTTTTGCCTTTAAAGTACGCATTTAACTTCTATATGATTTCACTGGCATGTTATACACACACACACACACACACACACACACACAAATACTGTAATATAGTATCAATTGCTTACACTTACTCAGTGTACATACACACACTAAATGTGAAGTCTTAATTTTATTTAATATATTCAGAGAGGAATAACAGTTAGCCATTTCTTAATTAGTGCTAACATAGGCTATCCAAAGTTAAGCCTTTATTTATCAAAAAAAAAATTTTGTCTGATTACCTCTGGCTAATTAATAAAAATTAATTTGGATTGTGCTATACTTGAATTGCAATAAGAAACAAGACAATCAAATCTAATTGCTAATGCTTTTGGGAAAAGAATATAAACTGAGTTGATTTCCTTATTAGAATATAAGTTTCCTGAGAAATGGGAAGCTATTCCCAGTTGTACCTCCATATACAAATGTGGAAAAATTTTGGAAAAATAAACACAGTGAACATTTAATGGTTCTCTTTGTTGATTACTATAACAATATAAAATTTCTCTTTCAGTAGGTTGTGTGTATATATATATGTATATATGCATGTATTTTTAATAAAAATGATATTTTTAGGGATTTTAAAGTTAATTTTTAAACAAATGTTTTTTTATATTCATCTCATTTATTTAGTCATAAGGTCCTCTAGGATTGTAGTGATTTCTTATCATTAAGCCTATGTACACAGGTGATACATATCACAGATTAGGTATTCATTCAAGAGTCAATTATTAAATTAATAAATAAAATGGTGGCTTAATATAATTTTTTTGGCTTTTTAAAGTATATTTATTACTGACTTTTAATTAATTTATTTTTTAAAAGATTTTCTTTTTAAGTAACCTCTACACTCAATGTGGGGCTCAAATTCACAACCCTGAGATCGAGTCACATGCTCCACTGACTGAGCCAGCCAAGTTTCCCTACTGACTTTTTAAATGTTTTCAAGGATATTTTTCCTATACTAGTATTTGAATATAGCACAGTGATCCAGCTACTTTTACTTAAATGCAAAACAGGAAACAATATAACCTACATGGGTTTCATGGATATTAAATGCAGTAATTAGATAGAATTTTAACTGAATGCTAACAAAACAAAGTTTTTCTTTCCTACTTCTAAAAATTAAGCAACTGAATTTGACTTTGATATTGGCAATGAGGTTAGTTCCATACAATTACTGAGGGATAATGCTATCACCTCCATGCATTTTATTTTTTTCATTGCTTCAGAAAGGGAATATAAGAGCATGAAGACTCAGTTATGTGATCAACTGTGGTAAGGGCAAATTATAGTCAAGATTAACCAATAATAACTATGAAGATGACCACAATAATTGATCTTTATCAAACAACCATTCGTTTAATTGTTACTGAATGTATTTTAAGTCTATCTACGAGTTTAATATCCTCCACAATCTTGATTCCATAGCCTTATCTTCTAGAGTTGGTTGAGTTTAATATTCTACTTAGGCTTCCTTCTAAAACCCTGTCCTCTTTCTCAGGTAGATTTTTTTTTTTTTCACGTCATCTCCAGAGGGGCCAGCAGGGTGCCTGTGCTGGCTGGGAGGTCTAGGAGATGGACTTGGGCATCAGTTTTAGCTCTTCTGTGGGCCAAGTGGCCCATACCTAGCTCATCAGTTTCTAACTTCCTTTCAAGCTTATCCTGTATAACAGGCCAGTTACAGAAAAAAGGGATAGAATCCAAGCAGCCTGACTAGAGGAATGACAGCCTTTCCCTCTGAAGTGTTGCAGCCCAAGCAGGCTTCCATAAGCCCATTTCTGAGGAGCTGGAGGAAGACCTCAGCACTTCCCAGGCACCTGAGTGGCTGTGAACTTTTATTTATTTTGAAGAAAGTGTCACATGACCCTCCCACATAAAAATATACCTTGGAAGCTGATATACCTGTGAAGCCCTGATGTCCCTATCTCAGACAAAACTGAATGAGTGGAGGAGGGTAGATTTGAGAGGTAATATTCTTCTTTTTTAATTGCAGCTATGGATACCATCACCGTGATAACAGTTTGGGTTTTAAACAGCTGGGAGAGAAAGTTCATTCTGCAGTCAGTATATTTATAAATAGTTGGTAAGATATGTAATTGCTGGTAAATGCATATTATGATAATGAACACCCACACAGAAAAGTTGATCAAGTGAAATTACACTTGCAGGCTGGGATTGAATGTCTTAATAAAGAAATTATTATAGATAATTGGGGAAACATGATAGTCTTAACATTCTTCATTTCATGCTTACAGTCTAAGCTAATTGAAAACCCAGAGATGCCATTGGAATTTTAAGTTATATGTGTTGAAACTATCTTTGCAGTCTCTCTGCACTTTATGAACAATGTCTTCAATATATTTAAGACATTTATATATAACCTAGAACATAGTGACAGGAAATTTGTTCCATTTAAGCATTTATACTATAAAACCTCATCTTAAAGATTGACAATCATTCAAAACTAGTGTCTCTACTCAACTGATGAATAGACACAATCTGAATAAATTCTTGCATCTATATCAAACCAATAAATAAGGAGAAAATGTGGATCTTTATTTAGTCTCTGAAGTCAGAGGATAAAAAATAGTATCATATATTAAGACAAGACTTAATCTCAGATGAGTTAGGTCCATTATTGAAACATGTTAATCTCATTATCTAAAAATCTACAAACATTTTCTCTTTCATGCTACGCATATCAGAGACTCAATGGCCGCGTAAATTAAATATAATTTCCCAAATATTCAATATAGACTGTCTTTTCAAAGTTTATAGGTCCATTAAAGTTTACCTGAATCTTTAATATATTTTACTATCTTTTAATAAATGTTTTCCATAAATGTATATATATATATATACATGTGTGTATATATATTTCCATAAATATGTGTGTGTGTGTGTATATATATATGTATATATATACACACATTTCAAAATCTTATAATAGGCCAGATGCTATAATTAGTGTGACTGTAAAGAAGGGCTCCATTATTATTTCTTTCAGACCACCAAAGAACAATTCAGCAGTAAGCTCCAAGAAGAGAGATTATGAATCTCCAGTATCTAGAAAAATGTTTGGCTAACAGTATATGCTCATTAAATACTGGATGACTGGTGAGACACTTACATCTTTAGTGCAAAAAAGAAGTTACTTTCCTTCCAGTAGGAACTATTCTGTGAAACTATGCATTTACAAAGCAAGTAATCAAGGAACTATGGATATAATTCTGGAATAATCTTAAAATTTAAAAGTGTGAATTAATGTAACATATTCAAAAACATACTTTAAAGATCATTAAAATAAATATTAACACATTTTATTTGAGTATCAAGTGTGTCTGCCAGAAGTTAGGGTTTGTGGTCTTTTTTTTTGAAAAAGCTCTAGGCAATAATAAATATAATGAGTTGCAGAAATGATTTATCCACAAGATATTAAATATTTCTGGAAATATTTTCAGTAAGACTAAGAAAGAGTTCTTAGTTATTTTGTACCATGAGTGAGATAGCCTTGGCAAGACTTTCCTAAAAGTATTTTGATAGATATGGATAAAGTGACCACATTGTTCACTGACTCCATCCATGCTGGAATATATTGGTTATAGGACAATTATGAAATCACCATCTGCTTCTATAATTATGTTACTGATTTAACTTAGGATAAAAATAAGAAACACAATTCATGAATTAATCTCAAATAGAAGATATTTCACAACAAATTTTTAAAAATTGGGCTAAATGTTTTTGGACTTAGATGTTTGAACTTCAGAGAGTCAACACTGTAAAATGTGATTTCCTATGGACTTTTTAGGTTGTGACTATCACACACATGTCCGAATTTTAACATTTTAAGCTGAACATGGACTTCTAAATAGCCTACATAAACAAAGCTTATACTATGTAAAAATCATTATAATAAACAGTCTAATGATCAAAATGATAAGAACCTACTTTAATTCTTTCATATTCTTCTTGAAAACATTAAGTGATTAACAATTTCATTTAATATTTAAAAAGTTAATTTCATAAATTTTATTGTTTGATTTTGTGGATGATAAACTCTATTTTGTACTGCTTAATTTAAGCCTTTATAATCATGTTAAGTAATTGTGGGTTACTATAAAATCATTTTCAAATAGTTTTCCTAAATTACTTCTGAAAGTTGAGTTTAGATTTTTAAATATTCAACAGTAGGGGCTCCTGGGTGGCTCAGTTAGTTAAGTGACCAACTCTTGTTTGAGCCCCGGATCCGGCTCTGTGCTCAGCAAAGAGCTGGCTTAAGATTCTCTCTTCCTCTCCCTCTGCCCCTGCCCCTGCTTGTGCATTCTCTTCCCGTCTTTCACTAAATAAATAGAATAAATAAAATCTTTAACAAATAAATAAATAAATAAATATTCAATAGTAGTTGCTGGCTTTTTTAAGAAAATGTCTCTGCTACAGCTAGCTAATAAAATGCTAAAGTTTGAAAGGAGTTTTAGATATTTATATTTTTTGCTCAGAGTAATTAGAAAATGATGTAGCTATTTATTTAATCAGAATAACTGACAGGATTCCCTAGATCTGCAATCTCTTTTGCTAATGAAGGTGAATGCTACTTTATTATTCAGGGCAACATTAAAAAAAAAAAGAAAGGAAAGCTTATAAAAGCAGTCCACAAACTTATCAACTAATTACCAAAATATTTTAGAGAAAATACTATTGATACATGTTAAATAATAGGTGGATATTTTACTCTATCATTTTCATAAACTTAAAGTATCCAACTTTTGAGTTGAAAGCTTAGATTTAAATATACTTCTTTGCTTCATAATCTGCAAATAATTTATGGGTCAATTTCATCATTAATTAACTAACACATTCTGATCAAAAGATTTTTAGGCTGTTTTCCAGATAGAATTCATGGTATAAGAATTGCATAAGACATGTCATGATTGGTCCCCAAACCACCTTCTTTCCAAACACAGTTCTTTAGACAGCATATCCCTACATGACAGAAACTAGAGGTTTGGACCCTCTTTTCTTCTACAAGGGATAGTGCTCTTGTATGGGTTTCTTGCTTCTTGGACACCCTTTCCCCTCTTCCCTGTCTGGAGAATTTCTCCTCATCTTTAATTCTTTGCTGAAACGTTAGCAGCTCCTTTGTAAACTTTTGTTCAAATGGCCAGGATTGAGTTTGTTCTCTCATTTGTGTTCCCAGCACTTTGTATACCAGTATATTAAAATACTAATCACACTATAAACATTTGTTTATTTGCCTTTCAGTCTCACTACAAGGAATGTGTTTCCCTAGGCAGAATCTATTTCTCTCCAGGTTGGCATAATTCCTGGCGTATCCTAAGTACTCAAGATGTTATTTGAACATTAAATAAATGGGACGTAAGACTCTTAAGAAATACTCTTACCATTTCGGAATTTTCCATTCCTTTTGTTTTTGTCTACATCATTAATGGGGAGAATTGGGAAAAGATAAAGATGATCCAGAGAAAAATACAGCAAGTGAATTGCAAAAAAAAAAAAAAAAAAAAAAAGAAAGAAAGAAAGGAAGGGGGAAATCTCAATTTCAAAAAGGGCTAGTTAGTTTTTGGGATAAGAGACACAGTAAATTGTGAAATTTTAGTTAATATAGGACTTTGGATAATATATGAAAAATAATCCCAGGGTCTTTTAAATTTTATCTTGTTGTAGTGAAACATATGTCTAATTTTTCAGTTCCTGCCTTTTTGCTTTTCAGTGTTCCAAATCAAAGTATCAAGGTAGGAGTTCATATAAATCCAAAGATTCAAATACTCAAAAATACCAGATCCATAAGCAACCCATGGGGTATAGTGCTTTTGTTAATACATTTTCTAATGTGCATAAATGTACATCTGTCTAGTAAACAAATGCTTTCCTAATGATTAAGTTTCCTAACTATGAGCCATTGTTATATACTTATCCAGATGAGGATAGATCCACTTTCCTCAAATTTAATGTAATAATTTTGTAACTAGTACATGACATACTAAAATGCAGCATTAGTCGATTTCCTGTCACTCTTTGCTGTGTCCAGGTTTATGCCATCATCAGGCATTGATAGAAGTGTTTCCACTATTACAGAAAAACCTTCAAAGGCAGTCACTGAGAGTTTTGAACCAAAGGAGCATAAGGCCTCCAAACTTCTGCTTGTTTAAATTTAACTGCCATACATATCAGACTGGAAAACAAAAAGGATTCATAATTAATATAATTCTTAAATCAGAAAATAATTATGCCAGTGATAGCTTATCAGCTTAGTATATTATGAATAAACAGCATATGGAGATAATTTGACTCAGAGAAGAGCATAGGTCCACATACTCAACTCCAGTCAGGTTTCCAGGCAGGACATGGGTTTAAAATGAAAATTCCCAGTTGTATTTGAAGCCCATTAAGAAACTTGACACTTGAGGCAATATAACCTCGTACTATCTTGTAAAATGTTAATCATTCCAGAATACGTATTTGGATTGTATAAATGAGCATTTTTTGTTTTGGAGAATTTATGAAAAGCTGACATAATCAAATCTGAATTATAGGAAAAGACTTCCTTCCGTTCCCTATCTGAAAAATATGAACACCAGCTAACTGTGCATAGTAGTTCCAAAGGACCAAGTGGGTGGAACTACTCTGTGAAATTGTTTTGGGTTTCAACCTGGTTTTCATGCTTTTGCAAAACTATATTAACGGGTGTCAATAAAATGCACAAGGCCAGCTTTATAATGGCTATGCAAATCAAATTTTTAGTTTCCAGCTGTAGTATCCATGTCAGCTTATGGGCCATAATGTACTCACCGCCCCAGCGCTCATCACACACTGTAAAGAGAGTGGTTTTATTGGCTAAGCCAGGGAGCATGGTGCTGCACTCCATGACGATGGCCTGAGGAATCATTATAATGCAGGAGACAATCCAGATGATGACAATGCTATTCCTGGCCCTCTTGGCTGTGCTCTTAAACATCAAAGGGTGACAGATCGCATACCATCGATCCAAGGCAATGCAGCTCAGTGTGAGAACAGACACTGACACTGACACGGTCTAGAGAGGTAGAAGAACATAGGACAAGAGAAACATTTGGTGTTAAATGGATCATTCTTAATGTACTTACCGTAGAAGAGAAAGGGTCACACAGATAATCAGATTCAAAGTTGTAAGAAAATATTTCATGTAAGGTTTTTTACTTAATAATATAATATTAAAAATATATTAGGGAAAACATTTCCTATTAAACATGATAAAGGTGCTATGAAAACATTGCAATCACTTTATGCCAAATGTGTTATATGACATGTCTTGCTTTTAAAATAACCATGAAAGGGGCGCCTGGGTGGCTCAGTTGGTTAAGTGACTTCCTTTGGCTCAGGTCATGATCCTGGAGTCCCGGGATCGAGTCCCACATCGGGCTTCCTGCTCAGCAGGGAGTCTGCTTCTCCCTCTGACCCTCTTCCCTCTCATGCTCTCTATCTCTCGTTCTCTCTCTCTCAAATAAATAAATAAAATCTTTAAAAAATAAAATAAAATAAAATAACCATGAGAGACTATGGACTCTGAGAAACAGGGTTTTAGAGGGAGGGGAAGGGGGGATGGGTTAGCCCGGTGATGGGTATTAAGGAGAGCACGTACAGCATGGATCACTGGGTGTTATGTACAAACAATGAATCATGGAACACTACATCAAAAACTAATGATGTAATGTATGGTGACTAATATAATAAAATTTTAAAAAAAATTTAAAAAGTGGCTAAACACCTTAAAAATATATAGAAATTTGATTGCAATGCATTTAATTAGCATTTTTTAAAAATTATGGATAACTCAGTCTATATTTTCAAATAACAAAGGCTATTTGTACATTGGTTCATTTCTAGCATGTTGCACCCAAAGGCAGGAGTTATGTTAGAAGCGAATTCTGTATGGATCTCCTCACCAGAGTTTGCTCATTGCTGGTGTAAGCAACTCACCTCTAAAACTCAAGTAGGTTCACCTAGTCCAGATTTCCATAATTAATGCCATCACAAGTGATACTTTAACTTGGTACTTTAAGGAAATAGTAAAGATACATGTTAAGCATGCCTATACCCACATGACCAGCGTATGTAATTATATGTAATGTAACTCCTATCCTGGATGAATCATTGATTCTGGTATCACTCTCAAAATCCCATCTTTAAAAAGAAACCTCAGTCCCTTTTCCTTTTTTCTTAGTACTTACAATAAATATTATGTGATATAGTACAATTATTTTTGTTTAACTTATTTATTGTCTGCCTTCTCTATCGGAACAAAACTCTGTAGCAGGAGGGACTGCTACTGTTTTTATTTGTTTATTCTCACAACTGTGTCACCAGTACCTGGCACAATGTTTGATGTGCTTAATAATTTTTTTTTGAGTTAAGGAATAGTTATAAGCCTCAATCTAAGGTAATAAAGGTGGTCCGGTCCTCTCTCTCATTTTTCTGTCCTGGTTGTATTGATCCCACCCTATGTGGAAGGGTAGCCATTTCTGTTTCTTACCTCAGGACCTTCTTTGTGGATGCATTGACTTTGGGTGCATATGACTGAAAAGGATCTAAGAGCCTGGGCAGTACAGGAAAAAGGTCTCTGGGCTAAGTGTCAGGATGATCAATCTGTTTTCGCTTCCCACCAGCTAGTTGTGCAGTGAGGGCTTACCCATTTTATAGGGTTTTTTTTAAAGATTTATTTATTTATTTGAGAGAGAGAGAGTGCACATATGTATGTGACAGGCAGGAGGCAGAGGGAGAGAATCTCAAGCAGACTCCCTGCTGAGCCCAGAACCTGACATGGGGCTCAATCTCATGACCCATGAGGTCATGACCTGAGCAGAAATCATGATTTGGGCACTTAACTGACTGAGCTACCCAGGCACTACATCCATTTTACAGTTTTAAGCCAAATGCTTATGTGTTATTATTTTTTTCTGTTAAATGAGTGAAACTGACAGGATACAATTCTTGTTACTCTGATTCTTTTGATTCTAATCAGAGGGGGAGACGAACCATGAGAGACTATGGACTCTGAGAAACAAACTGAGGGTTCTAGAGGGGAGGGGGTGGGGGGATGGGTTAGCCTGGTGATGGGTATTAAAGAGGGCACGTTCTGCGTGGAGCACTGGGTGTTATACGCAAACAATGAACCATGGAACACTACATCAAAGACTAATGATGTCATGTATGGTGATTAACATAACATAAAAAAAAAAGGCAGTATAGTTGAAATTAATTCTGCAACTTGGTTTCCTGGGCATGAATCCCACCTCTCTTGATAAATGTATGATCTTGGGTAAGTTCCTTAACCTCTCTATATCTCGGTTTTCTCATCTGTAAAACTGTATGATAATAGTACCCAAACATGGAATCATAGGGAGAGTCAGTTGAGATGTGAAATGGCTAGGCCTGGCCTGCCCCATTAATGCTATGTAAGTGGTTGTTATTACTTATTATGATTATGGCAATGATTATGGTGATTATACTACTACTTTTCTATTCCATTCTCAAGCTTGGCAGTCTAGCTTTTAATTAGAATGGACTGCTTTTTAGTGAGGAAAAAGAAATCACAGAAATTACAAGTAAAAGCCTAAACTATGCTAAATTCTTGGAGGTTTAATTGCATTTTAAATGTAACTTTAAAGGCTGAACTCTATCAGAGAGGGTTTAGATGTGTTGATGACTCCTGAAATTTACTTGGTCCATCTTAGAGCTAATTGACGTGTCCTTCTCAAACCAACCCTTTTCCTTCCAACTCCCATTTCCCCCCTGTACATATGCCAAGCACTCAGGGCCCCTCAATACTACTGGTAACTTGGGAATAGAACTGTGGTAGTCTAGACCTGCACAGCTGACCTTTCATAGTTGCTGGGCCGGGGCTATATTTATCCAATCTAGCTATCAGAAGTGTAAAATGCTCAGCAAGGCTTAGTGATTTATTGTTCATGAATTCTAATCAACATGGGTGAATGGGATAGAAGTAACATGGCTCAAATTAAAAAGTCATTTCTAGTATTTTCCTTTACTATTAAATAGTAATTATCAATTAAAAACAGTTCACTTGAAAGACTGCCATCCAGTGCCAACAGTGAGACAAAGAGCAGTGGTTCTCTGTTATGTGGCTACATGAGAGAATATGCTGACATGATTAATCTAACAGTAGAATTCATTGAATGGACCCGTGGCAATTGGTGATTTAATATTCACTGTTTGACTACTGTATTTGCTGGTGCATAATACACACTAGCATCCAATTAACAACATTTTCTTGGGGGGTATATAAAATGGCATCTTATCCCAAGTGATTACAAATCACAGTTTCTTGCTGCTTTCACTTCTAGGAGTACACTTCTGTGTGCCTTTTTCATTTAGAGTTTGATATTAGCTTAAATCAGCCTGGTAGCAAATCATTTGAGAATGAGTCCAGTGGAGATTATGAATGTTATAAACGAAGTGGGATAAGATGATGTGAACTTCTGCTGTTAGGTGCTTGACCTTTCACCCATACTGCGGCACCCTGTAGTCTGGGCAATGCTGGAGACTTGCTTCAGTAGATGATGATTCTGTTCTATGCTAGCATATAGCCATGGCAAAAACTCCTCAGAGATCCATGGCAAGTAGAAATGGAAATTTGGGGGCACCTGGCAGACTCAGTCAGTACAGCATGAGACTCTTGATTTTGGGGTTGTTTGAACCCCACATTGGGTACAGAGATTACTTAAAAATTTTTAAAAACTAAAAAAAAGAAGAAAGAAAAGAAACAAATTTTGCCATATCACAGATTTGGACACAGGCACTGAAAGATTGGAAGGTGGGAAAGTGTGACTGAGAGTGAAGGAGCCTATTCCACCAGCCACCACCCACCAGCCACCACCCACCAGCCACCACCCACCAGCCACCACC